ATTAATATGTTCGTTTATAAACTATTTAATGCATGCTTTGCCCTACGAGGATAAGAATTTAATATGGAAAGCTTGAATCCTTTATATAATAGAGGTTAGGGTTTTTGGCGTAGTTGTAGTAATACTAGCTAACTGTCATAGGCGAGTTGTTCGGCAATTCCTATCAGCAGCTTATCCGTTCCTTCAAGTTTCGATCAAGTAAAACCCGTAATTTTTAGGCTGTTGATTACACCCGTTTGTGTGGGTGTAATGAACAGCATAAAAACGAACCATACGAACTACTATATGGCTACCAACGCAAGCACTTCAACTTAACTATCTATTTAAAATAATGCTAGATTAAAAACTATCTTTCTTTTTTTGTTCGTAACAGACAGAGAAAAGATAAACTATCTTTTCCATCTCAACGAACAGCTTACCCTTTACGGGCTTTTCAGCGCTATAATACATCTATATGGGCGGCGTATCACTCTATATGCAAGCACTATTACAATAATGAGATTTGCGATACATAGTACGTTGCAAACGTTTAATATAATCAGCTGCTTGGAAGCTGCATCGAATGAACGCCTGTTATCGCGTTCGTACTAGAATAATACCAAACATACATAATGATATAAAGCATAGGAACTATTACATCAGGTAATTATCGGAACGATATTGTTTGGCAATACCTGTATACCTCAAGACACACAGGTCTTAATAGAGAGGTAATTCCAGTGCTTCGTTCGCTTCATATAAGCGACGATGTTGGCGCTCTTCGACGACTGGTAAGATTCGTATTATGAAACACTCGCCAGATCCCCGCCAGAAGTTGCATCGACGACTCGATCCGGTAATACGCAGATATCGAGCAGAAATTTCAATTTTTAGATTTCCCAGTGTCGTTTACTAATCAGATCATATCGCTAAGGCATAACCACAAAAGGAAGTTGATTCATGATAAAAAAATATGCTGAACGGGCTAGAAGTAAAGGCTCTTCACCCGAAACTTCTGCTTGAAAAATTCTAGTTAAAATATGCTCTTACATCACGATGAGGCTGTGCAGGTGCTCCATTCTGTTGGGAAGAAAATTCGCCATCTTCAATCTGTTGTCAAACACATTCTTAGCGTAACTTCAAGTTATTAGCGCTAGTCGCCATATTGCTACAAATGAATAGTCCAGTCACATTTCAATGCAACCATTTTACATACGCACATAATTTTACAATTACACATATGTGTGCGTGAAGTATTCTTACAATACAAAGCAAAGCGAGGCGAGACACAAAAAATTGTATCCTAAGAAGACTATCGTAGGCATTTGTCTTGTTTTAAAAGGTCGAGCTGAAGCATTTCATTTTGTTTTGAGTTTTTTACGTCCGATATCACCGCTAGGCACCCCATCCGACGGCTTCCCAGCCCGAAACAAAGCCCAGTTTCTATGTCAAACCTACCCTACTATGATTGCAATATAGCTATGTATATAAATTAACAAACATTTCCCCTGAAGAACAGATGGGACATCTGGTACACCCTGAAGTATTAAGCGATGTTTAAGCATTGAGATTTCGTTGTAGGGCTCCTCGGTGTTAGCGGGTTCCACACAATATCGTGTGTTATTTTATCAAAATAAAAGTTGCGAACATTATTCTGAACACTTTTCTTTTTTTAATGTTTTTTTTTTTTGTTGAAAACTAAAACGTATGTTCTATCAGTCTGATAGCAAGAGTCATTGATATTCGAACGACATATGGTGAGCCGTTGATACCACAATTGCGATAGTGGTTACGGTGTTCTTGGAAGATACAAAAGCGCGCACTGAAATACGACTGTAAAGGTTTAGTTAAGCACAGAGCTTATAAATATCTGAGTTGAAGTAGGCGCACACAGAAGATCTATCTATATGGGTGATTATTACCCTGTCGTAGAGAAATAATAGATCGCAAAATAAAAACTTTTCATACGTTATGTTATGAAAAAAGACTTATACTTGCGCTACAAGACCGTTTGGATGTTGAAATGTTATCTAGTTTGACCTTAGTAGAAGTCATTCTTCAGACTGAAAATGCTACGTGTTTTCAACATAGGAAACCGATTTTGAGCAGCACTTTCAGAGACTGGGGAGTCCTCGTTGTACACGCCACATACATACATACATTTAGGGATATTTCAGCAGTTTTTTTTGCGGCTATACAAGAACGACGACGCATGCCAGACAAATCGTCTTCCTTAGGACACTTTTTTTTCCTTAGGATTTTAGAATCCGAACTCACGGTCAATTTCTATTGGCCTGTACAAAACAATAACAATGAGCTTGAAAATCATGAACAAGAGTTTTTCGAATAACATACAGCGAGAAATGAGAAGACGGAAAATATAGGCGAAAAAAACATGACTTTTCGAAAAGCGCAATATCTTGCATGCGCTATATTGTTTCTTAATTAGAGTTTCAAACGTACCGAGTCGCCTCTCGATATCAACTAGCCATTGAATTTATTTAACGAAGTGTACAAATCCTCTGGTCAAATAAATCGCAGTAGCAACAGCTTGCGTATCAGTCTGTCATGGATCTTGGAATGATGACCTTTAGCTGACATCTGTTACTTCCTGCGTGAATATTTCTGACAACAACTCGTAGACATGCCTATTATTTATTTAGATAAATTCATAGCAGTATCTGATGAGCTATGTAAAATGGATTAGTAATAAACGTGGATTGCCGTGATGAATAAGAGGCGGCATTCATAAACATTAATTGTAGAACTCTATCTCCAGTTGAAACTTCAGAAGTTTTTCGTGTTCTTAGTATAAACTCATCAAGCAGGTACGTGTGAGCAGCGTTAATATCGTTCAATTTTTACACAGTTTTTGTAATGTTTCCGGGCGGTACGAGACTCCGGAGAGTGCATTCGAAAATGCTAATTATCTATAATTTTGTCAATATTATTTCAAAAATAATATCAAATAATTATTGATATGCCGGGATACTTTGGCATATTGTGAAAGGAGAAGTTCAATGGATTCTAAATCACCGCCTGTTAGCGCCCACGAGTGCTTGCGCATTTTTATGATTCGGTGAACACTCGTAGATTTTTTTCGTAGCGAGATAACTGAGTGAGGTTACTGACTGCAATACAGAATTTCACAATAAAATATTATTTTGTTGTTAATCACTTGTGCTCAAACGCTTATACCAAAACGTTACGTGACACGTATTTTGGATACTAAGGTATGACGATGAAAATTTTCGTTTGTTTAGTGATCGGCACTGAGGAAAAGTAAGCAGCAACGATACTGACTAAGTATAACGTCACTTGTAGGGCTCACAAAAAACCTATCGAACTAAACGGCACAACAGAGAGGAGGAGAAGAAGAAAATCACGAAAAAAGTAAGTACGCTTATTGCTGAGGTTTATAGACGTGAGTTCGTCTCTGGTCGAACGTCCAGGTGAAGGGGAATAGCAGCACAGGCCAGAGATGTAAGCGATTTATTGGTTGTTTCATTGTTATTTAACTGTGGATCATTAAGTCGCCAAATGGTATGATCCAATCCCATAGTCATACTGTCAGGATATGATATGTCTCGATAGGAGAGCCATTTCCTTTTCTCTCTCTCTCTCCATCGATTTAGGGTAGCATTATTTAGAACTTTTGGAAATAGGCAAAGTCCAGTGGCTTTTTGCCAAGGTTTTGCGTCTAGTCAATTTTCATACGAGAAAAAATTATCTCTATTCGGTAACGGAGTCGGAGGTTCAACACACTGCTACTACGAAAAACCGACTGTTTCTGGACGAGGTACACAGGTAACCTTGCTATTTTTTTTTCGGTCCGTTGTAATTATGGTAACGGTCTTGCAGAAAAATGCTTGTATGGTCCAAAAAGGACTAATATAAACTTACTTTGCTGAAAAAGGGCCAAAGCAGGTTTCTGGCTCAAATAACCAACAGTGTACAATCTGTGTTAGCCTCTAAGGCTCAGCTAATAATTGTAATTCATTTGTCCTCTGAGCAACAAGAAAAGTTACCGCCCGAAAATTTAGATCAACTTTCTGATTGCTAAACGAACTCGAAAAAAATACGTAGCCCCCAAAAATCTTTTGACATGTTGTCTATAGGACGCAACGTTTCCTGGCAGAGGGTTAGAATGAAACGTATGTTTTCACACTGAATAGATAAGTTGATAAACGTTTAAAGCTTTACGCCCGGTACTTTCGTTATACATTAATTCAGATAGCTGGCTTATAGCATGAAACGGAGTCAGCTTACGCCCGGTATTGAGCCTCGATAATATCGCGCGTTAACTCAGCAAGCGATCATCCTACCACTGCCGAATACCTATTTAATCTATTCTTTCACTCCCCTCCAACACTGCTGAAACGCGCGAGCTGACATAGCTGGAAAAGGAAAGGATCCGCAAAGCCAGATCTAAAATAGGCACTGAAGAACTTTAAGGTGAATACTTTTACAAGAATAGATGAGATTAAATAGGACTTAAAAACATTAGTGCGAAATGACTTCTATATTTTTAATCATGCTACAGACGAAAACGTGTAGGCCTGCATGCCTGACAAAAAATATGACAAGAGAAATTACCTCAATCATACAGTGCTAAATTTTATGAGCAATCATTAATGCTACGATCTATAATTAAAGCACATATAGATAGGTGAGTTTTACGTTTAGATGAGGCCCAAAGTCGGTAGACAGAGTTGGTTCAAAGTTGACATAGAAGACCAAATTTTCAGGCTTTTGAACGAGCGAAAGAGTGGCTAACTGTGCCTGTCATTTTCGTTGACAATATGTTTATACTTGAATTGGCATGACTTTTAGCAGTGCTCCAGAAGTGACAGTGATTATTGAAATTAGATTTGTCAGAAAAACGGAAATCACCAGCCCTCGATTGGTTAGCTATAAAGGCAGAAAGAAGCAGTCGCCAGTCGAATGCAACCGCCGCTTGCGCGGTCGCGCCAAAGTGGCAAGGTAAAGCTTCACCCCTTTCGCTTCTGTCAGCTGTCGGTTTCTCTAAGGGCCCACATAAAGTCTAGGTGAATTTTTCAACATTACGACGTTAGTATCAAGAATCCATAGATATTTAGATTGAGGCAGTAGTTTTCGCAAAATTTAGGTAACGGTGTGAGTTAATTCAGTCTACGAAAGTCCAGTGATTTGTCCAAATGGATGAAACTCCGGAAAAAGCCGATGAACCTATGCTATCGGTAAGTGGTTTGAATCAGCAAGATTATTTCAACGGTTTAATTGTCAAAGTAAGAGTCAAAGATCAGACAGAGCTAATAGTTCCATTCACTTCATCGGAAGGGTAAACTTGCTAGTAACAAAGTTCTCGACTACCTGAGAGCAGACTTCATTTATAGAGGTGAGCAGGGTAAAGGCGCACACAGTTGGCGCTCGACCATACGTATCAGCTTCTGATAATTTGATTATTTCTTTTCATTTTTTGTGAGCGTTTCGTGCACTATAATTTATCATCGTCTTGCAGGCTATCAATCAGTCCACTGCGACAGATGCGCTCTACGATTCTTCAAACTAGTCGATTTAAAATGACGGCAGTTAGCTCGGCATATAAAGCACTTTTTAATCTCTTGTACCCGTCTCAAACTATTGCATTGCCTGACTGAGCGTCGTTCTTAGGGTAGATAGTGCTTCGAACCTTCGAACTTCTATAGCCGTCTGTAACACGTAAAATATTCTATCGGATTAATATCTTTCTTTATACATACAAGTTGTGAAAAATTAGTAGGTTTTTGCGTCATCTTTTATATCACATTTAATTAAAATAAAAGGCAAACTTGATGCTTGCTACCATTGGCCTTACACGTAGCTAGTCAAAGCTGATCTGGTTGATCGAAAACGAGAATGTTTCTTCGGGGCGGACGAGAGCCAAGGATAATTTTTTGTTGGCAGATCAGCGACGCTTGTCCGTCAATTTTAGCAGTAGAATGCTATTTACTCGAATATCTATCTCTGAGTGTTCGTAATAGGTTAATGTGTTTTTAACTGTAGCTAGGTCGTAACGTATAATAATGGCGATTGCCAAAGCGCTATTGAGGAATATGTTCCTCAGGACAGCAGCGAGACGCAGCTGTTTGCATACGTAATTATCTGGGATCGTATGACTTTATTAACAATCTATGGGTTGAAATATTAACAGCAGTTAGCGGAACTCTGATAAGTATAAAGCTGAACAAACTAAACGGGCAGATTTGCGTGGGAAGTCGAACACGGCCACTGAGGGGCGCCCCACAAAAACAACATTTTTCTGAGTCTTCACATTGAACCATTGTCGAGAGCGTAGAAATGAATACATTCAACTGTCATCGAAATGCGTACAGGTATCGCATTTAACATACGCAAGTTCAGATTGTACCGATAGTAATGTCGTGTATTCAGAATAGCTCGACGCAATGGTTGCAGTGGCTGATATCAACGCCCTCTCATGTCACCGCAGTCTTCTCAGACTTCTTCAAAACTAAGTGATTTAGGAGCAATTCTAAAAAAGGGCTGACATTATTATCGCGAAAGTGCTTAGTATGTGCCGAGCCCTAGCTGATCAGAAAACGAAAAGCCCAAATCGGACTGTTACAGGCTTCACTCTTTCAAGCAAAGTAAAGAAGGGTCCACCTGCGATCTTTGCCTTTTTGATCAACGAAGGCCGTGCGCCAGGCATGCTCCGCCAATATTTGCAAGTTAAAGCCACTTCCGACTACTCAACAGATGCGAGCGAAGGGAACAGAGCCTGCATAAGAAGTATTCGACCTCGCGCCGAAGTTACTTACGATGTGCGAAGAATGCTTTTGCAGAAAATTTCTTATAAATAGAATACTTGCGTTCTTGTTTGACGTTGTCCTTCATAGCAGGCGACTAGACACAGTGACAGCTCTAACAACCTAGAGACAGCCAAAGACCTAAAAGACAGCTTTTTTTGCAGCTTGTCAGAGCGCTTTTTTCCTAGACAACCAGGCACTCTGTCCATTTCGGACACACTGTGACGTAAGTTATAATGTACCTTTGTTTAGAGTTACGCGTTAAGCTTTACTAGGACACGGCCTCCTCCTGGCATGAAATTAAATGTGCTTAACCCAGCACATGCATAGAAATTTCGTAAACAAACAGAGCAAAATAAGCAAGCTTAACATGATTCTTCTGAAATTCATGTCGCGAGTTTAACGCCTAAAACTACGTTAGCACTGCATTGAAGACAACAACTTTTCAATACACAAAACAGTACCATATTTAAGGGTGTTTTTGTTTATCAAAGACATCGTGAAAATCTGCATTTTGTCGATTTCTAGAATTGCTCATGATATATCCAGCATTGGGGTTAACTTTGTGTTTCTTCCCTTCGCACAATAATACCTTGATATTTTACATAATTATATCTTTTAACGTGTTCAAAGTATAACGGATCCGAATGTGCTGATAGCCTTCCAGTGTTACTGCTAACGATATTGACGTCGAGTCGTACGGCGCTCAACCTCTTCCGTCGGTACATATTTGAGACTCAGTCTATTCTAGTACATACCAACGTACATCAGTCATCTTCGTAAAAAGACGTGTATATGTACAGCATTTACTATGACTAAATATTTTGTTTCAGATAGAGAAGCGGCGCTCTCAGTTGGCTGATGTATCTGAAGTAATAGGTTCGTTTGGTAAATACCACTTCCTCTTAATGGTCGTTAATATTCTTCGCGCTGTTCCCATTGGATGGACGTTAACGTCCGTCGATTTTTTGGCTGGTGACATCGACCACACTTGCGCTCCTCCACCAGAATATAAAAGTGAAGCTTGGCTCACAGAGGGTCTTCTTCCTAATGATGTTTGCTCCAGGTATGGCGCTAATTACTTCTCCACTTTCGAAGACATTAAATGGCATTTTTTTTTATTTCTAGTCTAGCATACTTTTGATAGTGGGAAACGTACTCGTAGACTCTGGTCGAAATACACTTGCCCATTAACAAGGACAGTATTCAATATGACTAAACAACGCTATTGCGGTGCAACGCGTACTTATTAGATAAAAGGGTGACGTTTAAGGGTCGCTTCGCTTAGGGCAATAGCGGTGTTGATTTAGCTCATTAGCCGACGCACCCTAGAACTTGTTTATGTCTCATACACTACTCAGACGCGAGAGGAAACTCAAGACAATTGCTGGGATCCATTGGAAGGCCAGATAAGGTTCCACCACCAGACCTATTTTAAGGAAATATATTGCGCTGTATATATGCGAAATATATATAAACGAAAAATATGTTGTCTTCATCTCCAGGTATTACTGGGATTCTGAGGGAATAAATTCGTCAATCGTCTTACCTTGTACCAAGTGGATTTATAATCTAAGCCAGCCCTCTAGTGCTGTCGTAGAGGTCTGTATTTATATATATATATATATATATATGTAGATAAAGGTATAGAACAAACACTCTTGTAAATGGCTTTCGTTTGGATTCAACACTACATAACATTTTTTTTCCGAATCAAATCTGTGAAAATTTACTATTAAAAGCCTGAACAGACGAAATATTAGGGATCGCCGTTTCTTCATTTGTCGTCAAGGGTCGATTAATTCGGTGACAATGAACCATTTATGCTGTTGTCGTCAATGAGATAAAAAAAGGTCTGGATATTAACGTCTATTTTCATAATCCGAATATGGTCGTGAAGTATAGCTCTGTCTTACGTAGGAAAATTCAAATTGAAGGAGGTCATCCAATTGTTTTACCAACTTCATCGTGAAAATAGCTTTATCCCAACGGCACCGAAGACAATGTTCGTCCTTGATAACGTTTCTCCATACTTGCCTTGTGGCCATTATGCTTCATGAACTCACCACGTCACGGTCGAAATTAGTTTATGCGCATACCTTCAAAGGAGGAACTAGTATTTGATCAAATAACATAATCCTAGTAAATAGTCAAGCGATCAAATTTTGTCTGACAACCGTTACAAGGTAAATACTATTGTCAATGAATCTTAATTGGCACTGCCATGCGTCTGATATAGTTCTTCACACTGCACATTATCCATGTATCCGATGTCGAAATATCAGAGAAACGCGCCTTAGTTAGGCATCGTGCAATTCCCTAAACATAGAACTTATATTTCAGTGGGATCTTGTCTGCAACCGGTCATGGATGAGGTCTCTAATTCAAAGTGTGGTCTTTGTTGGACAACTCTGTGGAGCACTCCTCTTCGGAAAACTTGGAGACAGGTAAGTTACAGAGGAGACTATGCTCCCCGAAAATTCTATTTACTCACCCCATTATAGTTGGGCAGTAGACGAACTTAAGAGCTCAAAGTTCTAAAAATCATAGGTAAAATTTATTCTACTACAGCAGAACTAACATGGGCAATTTTTGTTCATTGTCTCAGTTTACTTCGTTCAGTTTACCTTACAATCTTACCGTATTGTTATATTCATATGCATAGTATTAAGAGAATGTGACTTCCACACAATTGCACAGATATGGCCGTCTGATAATGTTCGATGTGGCTGCTGTAACCATGTGTATCTTTGGAATAATTGGAACCTTTGCACCCTACATAGAAGTGTTCAATATTGTTCGGTTTGCCCAGGCCATGAGCACGGCCGGGCTTCAAATGCTCTCAGCTGCCTTATGTAAGTTAGTTTTGTTGTTTCAATACATCTTATGGTTTATTTGAAGCTAGTCTTTTGCAGATCAGATAGAACTTTCCCGTCGTACGCAAAATACACGATCTCTTAAAATCAAAGGCCACAGAGCTCGTGTTTTTTAGGAATTAAAAGATACCTACTTTTATAGCCCTTTTCCAAGGTCTGCAGGATATTTGCCACCTGTAAAAGGGCGAACCCTAAATTAAGTCGATCATATTTAACGGTGTTAAACCTGACACGCGGTGTTCAGGATCTCTGAAATCAGCTCGATTCAGTTTTATTGGCGTATGCTTATCACAGAACTGCATCTGTATTGGAATAGACATAATTAATAACAAAAGAAACAGTTCATGTGATGTTTAACTTTAAGGTTGGATACCATGGTTAAAAATTGGCATTATTTTGTCTGTTTTAGATTCGGAGGTTGCCCTACCGGCTGACCGAAACTATCTGCATCTTGGTATGACCTTGGGCTTAGGAGTGACCCAGGTTTTGCTTCCCAGTATGGCCAAGTGGCTCGATAACTGGAGATACGTCCAACTAGCTACAGGACTCAGTGCTGCTTTTTTAATACCGTTCCTATTGTTAGTAGCTACAGAATTCAACTAGGTAAAGCTATCTAAATAAAATTATCCAGAATCAGGGGGTAGACCTTTGTTCAGAACTCTATTATGAGTGTTCTTAGTTTAATA